TTGACCAGGATGGTCTTGATCTCTTGACCTCGTGATCCACCCGCCTCGGCCTCCCACAGTGCTGGGATTACAGGCTTGAGCCACCGCGCCTGGCCGAAATATAGATATTTTAAGTACAATCAGGCGCTAAGTGCCTGCTCTTCTTTTTTTTCCCTGTGTATATTTGTACTTCCTTGGGTGATGTTAGGTGAGAGGAGGGTGAGTTTTGACTTTCCCTTTCTGATAGCACCATGTTATTGTCAACAGTGAGCGCAGCCTAAAAATAACAGATACCACAATTCAGGTGAATTGTATCAGACTTCCTGTCTAGAGTTTTCACCTTACAGGTAAACGGAAGCCCACTTAAATAAACCCTAGAGTATTTTCATTTGTGGCATCAAAGTACATAAATTAAATGACGAGAGAGTTATTTTATTAGAGTCATTTTAGACTTCAGGTGGCCTTTTGGGTTTTTCTGGTTTTCTGAGGCTTGATTTGGTGGCAGGAGCTGTGCCCAGGCCAGGACACAGACCCCTAGTCACACGGTCGGTGGGGTTCACTGAGACATAGGCCCTTAACCAATTTGTCAGCAAAGCATTTCCACGTGGTATTACAAGGTCTTGTTGCATACATTTCATAGATTTACAAAAGATTTGTCATCTAGATTGTCAAATATTGGGAAGATTTCTTATTTATTAGAAGATATTTTTAAAGCGCTTCTGTTCATTAATCCTTTTTTCCTTACTTTTCTGTAGTCCCTCAGGCCCTAGAGAGGAGACTCCCTGTGCGGTTTCTGTTAAGATTGGCTGATTAGATTTGCATTGCCAGGCCCAGCTAGGCTTTCCTTTGAGGCTGACATGAACGGACAGTGCTCACTGGTGTTGCTTTCCATGGGTTCAAGGCGCAGGAACAACACGTGGGCTGGCATGTGGCCCTCAGAGCTGTCCTTACACCGCCAGGCTTCTGCTCTGTGTAGGGCTCTGTCAGTGTCTCACCTTTTGACAGCCGTTAAGCGGAAACAGTAGAATACTATGACCACTGAGAACTCAGCTACTCTCCTGTTTGTGATTCCAGGAAAGGGCAAGGGGACCTCAGAATTGCTCCAAGCCACTTGTTTACATGGCATTGCCTTCTCCTGCCTGCCTTTCTAAGACCTTGTGAAGGGGGACAGGCACAAAGCGAGCAACCACAGGTGGAGGAGCGTCCCTCCGCCACACACGGGTTCTCCATAGCTTCCTGCTGCTCCCTCCATGCCCATCCATGACCTAAGAGTGTGGCACAGCCTCGGCGTTTCTGCTTCAAAAGTGCCCCAGCTCCTTGCTTGCTGGTGTTGGAGTTGAGGTGGCGACCCTATCGCTCTGAAGCCCAGGCCCTGTGCTCCTCTCTGGATAATTTTGCTTGCTTTGCTATGTTTCCCTTCCAAAGTTGTATTGCATTTGAATTTGTCTTGAAATAATTTAAAAGTAACAGTGCAGAGGCTTGCTGTGGTCCTGGGTGGTTTGAAGGACAGTTTGTCACATGACTAGCCACCCAAGAAGGTGAGGCTGATGTCCACTTGTCATTCGCTCCTGCTCCAGTGCCCTGTGGGACATCGAGACCGGCCAGCAGACGACCACATTTACCGGACACACTGGAGATGTCATGAGCCTTTCTCTTGCTCCTGACACCAGACTGTTCGTCTCTGGTGCTTGCGACGCTTCAGCCAAACTCTGGGATGTGCGAGAAGGCATGTGCCGGCAGACCTTCACCGGCCACGAGTCCGACATCAACGCCATTTGTGTGAGTCTGGGTGAAGATGTGAGGCTGGGGCCTCCGCCGGCTCTGCTAGCTGTTTGGATTGCTAAGTGTTAAACTTTTCTGGATTAGACGCTGTCCTTTTTTGTTTTTGTTTTAATTTTGTTTTTGTTTTTGAGATGGAGTCTGGCTCTGTCACCCAGGCTGGAGTGCAGTGGCATGATCTCGGCTCACTGCAACTTCCACCTCCCGGGTTCAAGCAATTCTCTTGCCTCAGCCTCCCGAGCAGCTGGGATTACAGGTGCCCACCACCATGCCTGGCTGTTTTTGTATTTTTAGTATAGATGGGGTTTCACCATGTTGGCCAGGCTGGTCTCTAACTCCTGACCTCAGGTGATCTGCCCGCCTTGGCCTCCCAAATGCTGGGGTTAGAGGCATGAGCCACTGTGCCTGGCCTCCTATCTGATTCTTACACAACCTTATTTACAGATGGGTATACAGAAAGCTCCCTATGGAAATCTTATCTGTGTTGACCCTTTGTCTCACAGATATTCGTGGTGTGTCTGTGGTGTGCCCGTCCCTGTTCCCACCTCTACAGCTGAGCAGTGGTTGGGATCCTGGAGGGGCATGACAGTAAGATACCTCAGGCCACCAGTTACTGGTTATAGATCCTTACTGGTCAGGGGCATAGCTGACCAGGGAACATGACCTCCTCTTTAGCACCCGGATGGCTGGGCAGTGTCCAGCCCCTGGCCTTGTGAGGAGACTTGGATGGATGTATCTGTTGGTTGGTCAGAGCTCTGCTGCAGTCCCGACCACTGCCCTGGTCAGCCCGTCTCCTCTCCTTCTTCCCTGAGATAAGCCCTAATGTCTGGCAGCTGTAGTAACATGCATGCCTGTCAGTGATGACTACTTTATCACTATTCCTTTGGAATAAACTGTACTCTTTGGGGACCGTAATCACAGTGTCCAAGATCACAGTGTTTTGTTTTCATTTTTTTTTAAATTCAGTGTCTGTAGAGACTGTCAAAAATAGCCAATGCCGACTATATTTCAAGTCGTCATACCCCAGGGTATTGGGAAAAGTTTTCAATTAGCAATAATCGCGCCTCGGATAAACGTCATTGGCTACGATACTGCCGCTGCGCACAGCTGACCACAGTGTGTGTGTGTTTCCCTGGTGCAGGTCCCCTCCCATCCCCAGTCCCCTGTAGCTCTGGGCCCCTGTGGTACCATCCCTCTGTTCTTACCGGAGCACAGTCTTCTGGTCTTTGCCTGCTGTGTACTCTGCAGCCCTACCATTGAGCAGTCCATATTCTCAGTATTTCTTTCTAAGTGCTTACATGATGTCTCGATTTGTTCTTTCCAGTTCTTTCCAAATGGCAATGCATTTGCCACCGGCTCAGACGATGCCACCTGCAGGCTGTTTGACCTTCGTGCTGACCAGGAGCTCATGACTTACTCCCACGACAACATCATCTGTGGGATCACCTCTGTCTCCTTCTCCAAGAGCGGGCGCCTCCTCCTCGCTGGGTACGACGACTTCAACTGCAACGTCTGGGACGCACTCAAAGCCGACCGGGCAGGTAGGTGGCCATGGGGCCTTGCTGTGTCTCCTGGATGTTCACATGGTATCTTTAGGGTGGACACAGGGCGGCTGCATAAACTGCAGCGTTTTAGTGTCAGTGGGACTGTCGTGTGGCATAGCAGGAGTGGTAGTCGCAAACTCATGGCCCAGCTCTGGCCTCCAAGGCAAGTGGACTCCGAGGAGCACCAGCAGATCTTCCCACATGAGCTAGGGAGGGCGCAGGAGAGGGTCAGCTGTATCAAAGGCAAGCATGTTATTACCAGGTGTATTAAAACACTAGATGTTTGATTTTCAGTAGCTTTGAAAAAAAAAAAAAGGTAAAAAAATTTTAAAAAATAAAACAGTAGATGTATACAAAATGAGGCTTCCTTACTAACAATGAACATTCAGGCATCTGAATTTGAGACTGTTGAGACTGACAGAATCTTTGAGCCTCATTTGTCTCAGTACCTGGGAAGATGGAAGAAGGCAGTCTGGCTACAGGTCGTGGCTCTTACTAGGGATTCCTGCTTCTTCTAGATGGGTGCCATTCCCACTTCCTGGTTAAATACCCGTCTTTTTTCTCCCCGGCCTGGGGGGACCAGAGTGGAGCCCTTCCAACCAAGTCCCACAGTCCCAGTGCTGTGGAAGGGTAGTGGAGGCCAGCCTAGGCCTTGGCAGAGCACATGCCGGCCCCGTGCTCAGCTGTGTGCTGGCTGCAGGAGCTGGAGGAGGGTGGCTGAAATGGGCTGTCAGATCCTCCTGGGAGGAAGTGGAGTTCCTGGCTGGTGATGATCTAAGCCAAGGCTGTTGGGAGTGTTGACAGGAGGCTCCCTGACCATGTGACAGCGCCAGTGGTCTCAGCCACCATTGCTGCTCCTGTGTTTTGGGTCTTGTGCAAGGCTCTAGGGATCACAGACAAAGGAAAAGCAGCTCAGGCCCTAAGCTCCTGTGTTACAGATTGTTTTGAGATTGGGTGGTTTTGATTTTTTTGTTTGTGGTCTTTGCTTCTTTTTTAAGCTTTATAAGTGAGAGTGCAAAGAAGTCAGTGCAAACGGCTCTGGATTTATTATGTGTGTGCGTGTGCCTTTGAATTTTAACAAGGTTGGCCATATGCTTCAGTTGAATTCCCACGTGGATGCAACTTTCTTTCCCTTCCTGGCCGTTGGGGACTCTGGGACTTGTCCCATAAGAGGCCATCCGCCCTCATCACAACATGGCACACAGGTGAGATTGATGCCTCTGGGCTTTGGCGTGATTCTGCTGTTGTTTGCTCCCAGGTGTCTTGGCTGGGCATGACAACCGCGTCAGCTGCCTGGGGGTGACTGACGATGGCATGGCTGTGGCGACGGGGTCCTGGGATAGCTTCCTCAAGATCTGGAACTAACGCCAGTAGGTAATGCAGCACCCAAATGCCCTTGTCTGAGGAGAACTGTGCGTGTTTCTCATAGAACGTACGAAGTTGTAATTAATGGTTTCTAGATAAATGTTGATGTAGCATTGATTTGGAATTGTGTTGTGGGAAACACTTACAGAAATCTGAAGTCATGTGCCTTCAGCTGCAGACACTCATGCAGCGGTGGGAAGAGCAGTGACCTGACTTGCGTCTGCACTTAGATACCCTGCCTCTTTTCACATTTCTTTCAACTCTGTTTAAAACAGCATGTGGATGCCATGGAGACTGGAAGACCATTCCAACTTTGACGCGTTACCATGAGAGCATATCCTATCCAACCGTACTAACGTGGACACCCTACACCTCCCCTCAGAACTTCAAAAGGGCAAGATCTTTTTTCCTTCACTTATTGCTGAAACCAAGAGCACAATTCCCATTAAGAGAAGGATCTCTGTGCTGTAAACTAAAACAAATTGTGCATTCCTTCCGGGGCCATCGTCTTTGTTTTCTTTTTTGTCTTGAATGAATTTTAAAAGGAAATATATAATAAAAATGTTAACCAGAAGGTAAACTTGAGTGTAATTGTGAGACAAACACACCTTTCCACTAGTTTATTTGAATTTTAGACCAGTGACCCTGTTTTGTGACATTCACACAAAACAAGCTGAGGGCTTTGTTCATCTGGTCATCGTGTCCAAATTTCAGTCATGTTCGTGGCAAGATTTTGGAAGCATTCATATTTCCTTTTTTAAAATATATTCCTTTGTGTTCAGCAGTTACTCAAAACCAGAGAGTCTAGGGCAGCCTCTCTGCCATTGTCAATGATGTGAATTCAGTCCCTGGTTTTTAATTTTCTGTCTAGTGTCACAGATCATTGTTGCACACAAACATGGCATAGAAAAGAACATGTTCAGAAGCCATGGGACCAAGCACATGTGGGGATGGTCTCCAATGCGTGATCAGAGAGTACTTCGCCTTGGCTGAAAAGTGAGCTCAGATCCAGCACCACTTTCCTCCTGACCCATCCTGTCTGTCTTCTGAGTTGAGTTTTTAATCTCACTTTGGGTTTCCTTGTGAAGTTGGAGGGAAGTTTATAATATCCTAACACTACCCCACCCCCAACAAGGAGGAACCTCTGTTTTCAAGAGCGATGCCTGTCCTGTGCTTGGATAGTCAGTCAGTTATTTGTGTATGAAACAATGTACAAATCAATGTTTTGAAAATAATGATCTCAGACTTTCTAAGTTAAATTTTAAAAATTTTGATTGTTTGCCATATTGGGTGGGTTTACTCTTAGAATCGCATGCTGTAGAAATGCTCAAAAGTGCATATAGGACTCAGTCCTTAGGTGTTCTTTTTCTTTTGAGAAGTAACCTCTTACAGTTGTAACCATTGCGGCTCTGTCCACTTCTCGTTGCTGCTCTGTGGCACATATCGGAAGCAGTACAGCGCGCGGCTCTACACGCTTGGGTAGCGGGATAAGTCACTGTTTTCTTTCTTTGTTTTAAAAAACAAAAGTTCTGTTGCAAACGACTGCTGTTGGATTCTGAGGGTGGGGAAGGAGGGAGGGAAGGAGGGAGGGGAGTGAAGAGCCTGCCCTCCTTCATGGATTCTAAATGGCCCTAAGCGTCCAAGGCGGCTCGGCTCGTTCCCGTCACGCACAGATTGTCCTAGTGTTCCTTTCAAGGCCAGTGTTCAGCAGCAGCGTTTGGAAAGCAGGTTCTGTGGGACCCCCGCCCTGCCCCCCGCACTCCTTCATAGCAGCAGTAGTGGCTTCTTCATCCTGTTTTCTGCAACATTCTATACAAAACTGTGCTGTGACTTTGCAGTAGGCCTGGATCTGGCAAAGAGAATACAAATGAAACCCCTTCTTTCTCTCTCCATCAGACAACTCTGTAGAGCTCTCTGCACCCTTCCCCTCTCCACCTTTTGTATTTAATTTTAAAGTCAGTGTACTGCAAGGAAGCTGGATGCAAGATAGATACTATATTAAACTGTACTGTTATTTAAGATGTAATAAAGCAGTTTGACATGAGGGACTTTGGTGTGGTGATTATTTATGGGTCCATTTTCAGTTGATGGACACACCCCCCTCCCTAGGCTGCCCCTGCTGCCGTGAGGTCTGATGGATGTGGTCATTCCAGTGCCTTGCCCGCCCACATCACAGAACCCATGAGTGGCGCATTGGCTCCTTGGAGGCATTTCTGAGAAGCTCCACCCCACAGGCCTGCAGAGCAGTGAGGTCCACCTGCGACCCCCCAGACCCCTCCCCGGGCACAAGCCTTGCCCACAGCACCATGGGAGTCTCCACAGGCAGCTGCCTCGCCTTTCTCTTCTGCCGTTTCCCTGCCCTGGAATATCTGTGGTTGTGTTACTCCAGAGACTAGCTTTCTTTGGGACTAAACTGAGCGTTCCTCTTAGTCTGAATAAAAAGAACTGCATCTAGTAAGAAAAAAATGAGCACTGGTCATGGGAGTGTGGAAAACCATGGCCGTGTGCTGTGTGTGTCCCAAATCGCCACTCCAGGCTCTGGAACCATCCACTTCCCTGCTTTCCAAGCTGGTGATTTTTTTGAGACAGAGTCTAGCTCTGTTGCTTAGGCTAGAGTGCAGTGGTGCAATGTCGGCTCACTGCAGCCTTCCCCTCCCGGCTTGAAGAGATTCTCCTGCCTCAGCTCTCGAATAGCTGGGATTACAGGCACCTGCCACTGAGCATGGCTAATTTTTGTATTTTTAGTAGAGACAGGGTTTCACCATGTTGGTCAGGCTGGTCTCAAACTCCTGACCTCAAGATCCACCCACCTTGGGACCCCCAAAGTGCTGGGATTACAGGTGTGAGCCACCATCCCCGGCCAAGCTGGTGATGTTTTAAAATCTTAAACAGGCAATACAATACAAAATTAGCTGGGCATGGTGGCGCATGCCTGTAATCCCAGCTACTCGGGAGGCTGAGGCAGGAGAATCACTTGAACCAGGGAGGTGGCGTTTGTAGTAAGCAGAGTTTGCATTACTGCACTCCAGCCTGGATGAAAGTGAGACTCGTCTCAAAAAAAACAAAACAAAACAAAAAAAAAAACCGAGCACAATGGCTCATGCCTGTAACCCCAGCACTTTGGGAAGCCAAAGTGGGCGGATTACCTGAGGACAGGAGCTTGAGACCAGTCTGACCAATGTGGAGACACCCATCTCTACTAAAAATACAAAATTTGTTGGGTGTGGTGGCCCATGCCTGTAATTCCAGCTACTTAGGAGGCTGAGGTAGGAGAATCACCTGAACCCAGGAGGCGGAGGCTGCGGTTAGCGAAGATCACGCCATTGCACTCCACCCTGGGTAACTAGAGTAAAACTCTGTCTCAATATACAAGATAAAATCTTAAATAATTTGTAAGATTAGCAAAAGGTAACTCTGTAATTCCTGCAGCTCCAGAGGCTGGAACTGTGTTTTGTTTTTGTTTTCTGTTTTTTGAGGTTGTCTGGCTCTGTCGCTGGGGCTGGAGTGCAGTGGCATGATCCTGGCTCATTGCAGCCTCTGCCTTCTGGGTTCAGGCAATTCGCCTGCCTCATCCTCTCAAGTAGCTGGGACTACAGGCGCATGCCACGACGCCTGGCTAATTTTTGTATTTTTAGTAGAGACGGGGTTTCACTCTTTGTTGCTCCAGGCAGGGTGCTTGGTATGTCTGACGCAACCAAGGGTGCCCATCTGCAACCGCTGCAATGACAACATGGCGCCATCTCCCTAGTGGGGCGACCTGGTGCTGTTTTAGGCTGCTGAAGTGGGTGTGATTGGCAGGCGGAACGGGGCGGGTTTGCCTGGCTTCATCCTCATCCCCCACTTCTCCCTGAAATAAATGCGTTCTTCATAGACATGCAAGTTCTTCGCAAGCCCTAACCCTGCCAGCTGTCTTACAAAAGCCCCACTTAAAATGCTAGAGAGTTGAACTTGTCTTGGAGGCGTCAAAAGAAATTTAAAAAAATTTTAATTAAATGTTAGAGAGTACCTGAGGTGCTTCTCCAGCTGGCAGTTCCTGGAAGGGAGGGGCTCCATCGGCCCGGAGGCATGGGGCCTGCAGCGGCCTATCGTGGCCCCTGCGCAGAGTACGTAAAGGCTGAGCATCTCAGCAGGGCCGCCACGCCTCCGACTCCACTTCTGCCTTTGGGAATTCCTGCTGGCTTCTGTATCCCAGCCTGGCACCCTGCATAGTGACGGAACTGGGACCCGCTGGCCTGACGCCCCTTCCCCTTGGCCTGGAAGAGCCAGGGCTGAGGAGGGCCCCTCCCTAGGGCAGCCTGCCTGTCCCTTGGCGGGCATGGAGGCCACTGCCCCGCTTTCTTAGCAAAACAGGAAATGAAAATGGGTGCCAACAACGTGCGTTTGGACAGCAGCACTGGCTGAGGCAGTGTGGAAAGAGGATGGTGATTCCACACTGGCTGAGTGAACTGCAATTATTTTCAAACTTTAGGCACAAAACTGGTTCGTAGATCGCATTAGCCTGGCCACGGCAGGAGCAGAGCCCTTTGCCGCCAGCAGCCCCGCCGTTTGGGGGCCCAAGGCGCGCTTCCCGTGTCCGTATCACTTGCCTCGGCCCCCGCGCGGGCACACCACTCGCAGGTTCAAACAGGCAGCGGAGTGACCTGCGGCTCGTTCCGGCTGTTGACTGTTACTGCAGGGCCTCGGCCCTCCACTCACCAAGCGGCGCGGGGCCGCCCCCCTCTGCTCCGTGTCCCAGGGGTGAAGGTCCCCACCTCAATTTGCCTCCAGCACATGGCACGCACGTCCACACTTGAGAAGGGGAGGGCAAGTTTTCCTTTCTGTCCCCTGCGTGTCACGCACCCAGCAGAGCCTGGCCCTCAGTAGGATGCGAGGAGGCGCGCTCTGCCCACGCGAATCGGGGACACTTACGCGGCCGGGCGCAGCGCCCCACCCCCAGCCGGCCCAAGCAACAGGGGCCAATAAAAGGGCTGGCCCCGGGCCAAGCGCTCCCAGGAAAGGCCGCCCCGGCCCCGCCCACTACTCTGGCCCCACCCTGTCCCCCTAACCCCTCGCCCCCCCCAACTCCGTTTCTTTCCTCGCTGGGTGGCCTTGAACGACTTAGTTGGCCTTTCTGTTTCTCTGACTCCGGCGTGGAAAATGTGGACAATAAAAGTACCAAGCTTCTTGGTAAGGATCTCGTGAGGACAGAGATTCCCAGTCGTGCCAGGTGGTTACTGTTGATGCTCCCCGCCCACCCTAGGCCAACACGGCCTCAGGGCCCTGGGCCTGCTACTCCCTCTGCAAGAGAAACACTTATCCCTGAGTACCCCTGGTCAAAACTGTACCCCAACCCCTGCCTGCCCCACCAATTCTGCTTCTTGTCCATCTGCCCCACTGGAAGGTGAACACCTGATGATCTTTGGTTTCCACTGTTGAATCCTCAGGGTGCCTGGCACATGGCTGTCTTCCTGGAACAGAGGTTATCCCTCGCCCCAAACCAGTCCAAACAGGAGGCTGTCACGTCGGCAGTTCCAGACACTGGCTCCTGCAGATGCCCCATCCTGGCTCTCAGCCTGGGCAGGGCCTGTGCCGGGTGCTGGTTGGAGGCTGCATGAGTGACCAGATGGCCTGCTACACGGACGCCCTTTGCTGGGAGCCTCAGTTCCTTCCAGCCACCCTTCCCCCAGGCTCACAGCCACTTCCCCCTTGTGGGTTCTGGGCAGACTTTGTTCGCCAGGTTCACTGGAGCCAGGCCACCTGAAGTCAACTTCCCTTCCCTCTCAGCCTCCCCAGGAGCAACCCATGCCCCAGCACACCGCATCCTGCCCCACCCCTCATGGCCTCAGCTCCCCCTTCTCCCTCCACCCACTCCATCCCTGCTGGCCCCCAGAAGAGGGTGGGTCCAGGTTTTTGAGGTTCTGAAGTCAACAAGGTAGCCATCCTTAAAGAATATAAAAAAACAATGCCCAATTATGTGGAGTCCACTGTGCCTTGAGCAGTGGCAGCCCTGGGGCTAATGAAGGTCTCGGCAAGGGGTACCCTCCCCAGGACCTGGTCAGGCAGGAAAGAGCCTTTCCTGACCCCGAGTCCCTTGGAGGCAGACCCTCCTCCGGTGCGCCATAGGCAGGGACCCTCTACTCCCACCCCAGTCCCCACGACAGCCTTGGACCCTTCTGTTCCTGCTGCTGGGAGTCCCTTCCCTTTGGTCTCAGCCCAAGCAAAACTGCCTCTAAGCCCATTCCAGGTGCCCTTCCCAGCTCTGGCCTTAGTTACTGCCAGTCAGACCTGTGGGTGAGGTGTGGTATGAGATCTTGGCCCCTGAATCTTCAAGGTCATATCTGGGGCCTGCCCTGAGAAATTGCACAACCATGTCAGCTGAAGGAAGTCACAGCCCTGGTTTTCTTTTCTCTCCTGGAGGCAGTCCTCAGGCCCAGGGTAGACAAAGGGCTTCCATGTTACAGATGGGGCAGCTGCTGTATCTCCCTACACAGTTGGACACCCGAAGGCCGCTTGCTGTGTGACCTGGGGCCTTCAACAGTCACTGGAGGCCTTGCAGAAGCGGGCGACTGCCTCCACTCTAGAAGATTCTACGGAGGCCTGGCCCAGTGCCTGGCTTGTTTGTGCTCCATCTAGATCAAGCATTATTATGCTAATGCTCATATCTAAAAACTCGGCTCAAGCGTTATTATGCTAATAATCTTACTCCCCCACCGGGAAAAAAACCGGGCAGCTCACAGCCGCTTCTGTGGGTGTGGCTGGTGGTCACTTCAAAACAGTTGGGTTTGCAAAATAACCCCGGGAGGAATTACAGAGCTTAAGAAATCCCCTCAAGTTCCCACAGTCATTGCTTCCTTTTCCAGCAACCCTTGGTGCCCTGCACTTTACTGAGGTCCTGGACTGGACAGCTGTGTGTTCCAGGAAGACTCGGCCAGTCGGTGTTCCTGGACTCTGGGTACTGGGTCCCCGGAGTCCTGACTGGACGGCAGCCCGAGCATAGCAGGTATGCGGGTGTGGGGAAGACCCGCAGAGGACTCAGGTCCATACCGAGCCCTGGCCAGGTGATCCACACAGGAAGTATAGACAGGGAAGGAACCTCAGAAAACAATGGCTGGGCCAGGTGCAGTGGCTTACGCCTGTAATCCTAATATTTTGGGAGGCAGAGGCGGGACAAAGTGGCAAAACCTCATCTTTACAAAAAAAAAAAAAAAAAAAATATATATATATATATATATATATATATATATAATCTGCTGAGTGTGGCGGCACCCGCCTGTAGTCCCAGCTACTCCAACCTGGGGGAGGATGGCTTCCATCTGGGAGGTAAACGCTGCAGTGAGCCGTGGTCTTACCACTGGACTCCGGCCTGGGCGACGGAATGAGAGCCTATCTCAGAAAAACAAAACAGTGGCTGGCACTGAGGGGCCAGCAGGTTACAGCAGCTGCTCGTGCACTGCCAGTTTACTCGACAGTTACCCAAGAGCTGAGAACTGCGCACAAGGCACATTGTCGGGACATCTGAGGCCTGAAGGCGCTAGTGGTGAGCAGCCACCAGTTCAGCGAGTGCGGGCTGGGTGGGGCCCGCAGTTCCAACAAACACTCCGAAGACCGCTCCTGTGGCTTTGGCCGCCGCCTCCAACTTCCCGGGTCCTCGGACCTGTGGGGTGCTCAAAACACCGCTCCCGGTACCCCTCGAGGAGGCCCGGACCACCAGGTCCTCCCTCCACTGCCAGCCTTGCGGTCCCAGGCGCAGAGCCCTGAGGCTGCGGTGGGCGTGCAAGGCGCACTTGGGAGCTGGAAGTGGGCGTGAGGCCAAGCGCGGTTCTCCAAGGTGCAGGGCCGCCCTCCCAGCCCCGCCGCACAGCCCCGAGGGAGCGCAGCGCCGCCGCAGCTGCTCCGCCAGGTTTCGGTTCCCAAATCCGCCACGGTCCACCCCGTGTCACAGCCCGGTAATTAGGGAATCAGCAGCGGGCGGGGCGGCCTCTCGCCGGGCACCAGCGCTCCCCTGAGCCGGCCCACTTGGTCCGCGAGGTCCCGCCCGCGGCGGCGGTGAGTGGGGGCGGGACGCCGGGCAGAAGCTGGGGTCAAAAGGCCGGGTGCGCCGAGGCGTTGGCTGGCGGACCGGGAGGCGCGTTCCGGACGCGGCAGGTGAGTGGGGACCGGAGCCCGCCTCGGGGCGCCGACCGCTGGCCACCCGCGTCACGGACGCGCGCCCTTCTCCCGCTGCCCGCCTCCACCCCCGGGCCGCCCCTCCTCCGCACCTCCCGCCTCTTTCCCGCCGCGGCCGTCGTCCCCCGCCCCGCGCGGGACTTCCCGGCGCCCGTCGGACCCAGCAGCTGCCCTGGGCGGCCCACGTGCGCGGCGGCGCGGCGGGGCGCATGCGTGGCGGGTGCGCATGCGTGGCGGGTGCGCGTGCGCGTGCGCGTGCGCGTGCGCACTGGGCGGCCGCGGCGCATTGCTGCTCGGCGGCGCCGGCGCCGGGGTCCGGGCGGCCATGGGGCAGCGGGCGGCCGGGGCGCCGAGGGTCAGGTAGCGACGGCGGGCGGCGGCGGGGCCTGCGGGCTCGGTCTGGCATGTAGACGCCCGCGCAGGCGCCCACGGCAGCGAACGGTGAGTGAGCGGCCCCGGCCCGCCGCCCGCCCGGGGTCGCCCGCCGCCTGGGGTCATCGCTGCCCGGGAGCGCGCGGCCAGGCGGGGAGACACCGGGCTGGCCCTGCCCACCTGCCCTGCGGGGGACGCCGTGGAGGCGCGGACCGAAGGAGGAGCAGCCGCTCCGCCCGGAACTGGGCACCTGCTCGGCCCAGGGCGAGGCTCGGCCGGGGGGACGGGTCTGAGGGAGGCCGCCGTCGGGCTGGCGCTCCGGGGCGGGGAAGGTGGGGCGGCCCGGCCCGGCCCGCGCTCGCTCGGTCACCTCTGCGTGGGCGGCCGGGCCCTCGGTGTCCGCGCTTCCGCGGGTGGTTTCAGTGAGCCGGAGGGGTCTTTGACTCGTGAAAGCTTAGAGGGGCCCAAACCTAGTGGGGAAGCAGTGAATAAAGGATTCTGTACAGCAGGATCGGCATGGAATTCTCCAAAAACACTTCTTTGATTCAGTGTCCAGTACTTGCCAGAAAATTCCAGTAGTCTGTGATGATGTTCCTGTAGCCCCGATGTCAGCGCGGGCCTTGAGCGCTGGTCGTTTTGTTAGTTGTGGGAGCAGGGCGCACCCAGCTCCGAAGGCCTGGTGGAGTTTTCCTTCCCAGGCCAAGGACCACCCACCCCCATTCCTCCTCCCCAAGCAATGGGATTCCTTTTGGCTTCGACTCCCGAGTAACAAGTTATTTTTCCTTTCTTGTTTTGGAACACGCTTCAGTTGTACATTCAAAACTTCATTTTTCTTGGCTCTTGGTGGGAATACATTTCAGAACTCTTCATTTGTTCTATGTCTCTCTGACCTTAGTTGGCCTGAAACTAACATGTTTGCCTTAATAAGTAAGGTTTTTTTTTTGTTTTTTGTTTTTTTTTGCTTTTTTGAGACGGAATCTCCTCTTGTCTCCCAGGCTGGAGTGCAGTGGCGAAATCTCGGCTCACTGCAAGCTCCACCTCCCGGGTTCAAACGATTCTCCTGCCTCAGCCTCCCAAGCAGCTGGGACTACAGGGGCGCACACCACAACGCCCAGCAAATTTTTGCATTTTTAGTAGAAACGGGGTTTCACCATGTTGGCCAGGATGGTCTCAATCCCTTAACCATGTGATCTGCCCGCCTGGGCCTCCCAAAGTGCTGCGATTACAGACGCGAATCGCCACGCCCGGCCTTAAGGTTTTTTTTTTTTTCCTTCTGCTGCCTTGTCTAAGAAGTAAGTTACTTTCACATCTTGTTAGATAACTCCTTTCAAGTCCTTATTCCCGAACATTGTCCCCCCAAGCCTCTGGAGGTCTTCTGCCCCCTTGGAACGTCTGTGTATGGCCTGTTTGTTCTCTGCAGGGGCTTCACTGTGACTTTGCAGCTGCTTCATGGTGTTAGCACGTTGATTTTAAGCAACGTGAGGGGTCACAGGTGCCACTGCAGTACCTGGGACAACATCGTCATCATTTGGAGGTGTCCCCTCCAGAGGTTTCTGTGCGTGTGTGTGTGTGTGTGTGTGAGAGAGAGAGAGAAACGGGGCCTCACTCTGTCCCCCAGGTGTGTGTGTATAGTGGCATGATTAGAGCTGCCTGTAACCCCAAATTCCTGGGCTCAGCTGAGCTTCCCACCTCAGCCCCCCGAGTTGCTGGAATTACAGCCCTGTGCCACCACACCTAGCTTATTGGTACAATTTTTTGTAGAGATAGAGTCTCACTGTGCTGTCCAGGCTGGTCTCAAACTCCTGGCCTCAAGAGATCCTTCTGCCTCTGCTTCCCAAAGTGCAACCAGTGTTTCTTTTTTCCTTTGAACTCAGAGGTGCCTTTACATTGCTGAAGTCAGTTGGCAGCCTGCTGTTTGGTTCCAAAACAGCATTTTCCCCTTGAAACAACTACTATAAGAAGTCGGGTTTGCAGGCTAGCACAAAATCCTGTTTGGGTCATAAATACTCAGAGTGAGGATCTCCCAGACAGCTGGCCCAGTCAAGAGCAGTCCTTCTGGAGCGGAGGTGGTGAACAAATGGGGGGAAGTGGCGCTTGTGATGAAAACAGAAAACAATCCGTTTGACTTTACTGAGCTTCACACGTGAGAAAACGTAGGTTTGACTTGGAGAACTGAGAGGCAGGTGGTGGTTTGTGTCCTGGCAGGAAGGTGCAGGGCCTCCCCCGGCAGCTTCACTTAGAATCAGTCTGTACCTGTTGATAGTGGCCATCCGGCTTCAGCCGTTGTGGACAGGTGGGTGTCTTAGTAAGGCTTTAGCGCATAACCCCAGATTTCATGTCTACTCTCTGTGCTGGTGGCTCATCCTTTGCAGTCTCTCCTGGCCCACAGTTGCCAAAGTCCTAACGTTAATACATGGGAATAGGTAAGTTAATAAAAAGAAGTGTTTGTGTTCTTCCGACAGATGGTGAAAAGTGTTCAGAGAAAAAGCAAAAGTGAGCCAGGTGGTATGTGAGGATGCCACACACACTTCGTGTACCTGAAAAGGTGGGGTGACTCCTGCCTCACCCTTGAGAGCTGCACAGACCCTCCTTTTCCTCATCTGCCTCTAAGGAGGTGGAGCCACCTCTAAAGAAAGCCCCCTTCGGACCTGTAATCTGCTTAGGTTTAATGAGGTCACAGGGTCAAGCCCTGTGGTCACGTGGCCATAGCACTTTCTAGAAAGTCTTTCTCGGTGTGTGTACTGCCAGTGTGCGTGCCAGCCCTAGGCATTATTTACTGGGGGGAGACGAGATGGGTAATTGAATGGGGGGTAAGTTTTTTCCAACTCAGGGTTAACAGGCTGAATGTGTCCCCGTTTCTGTCATGAAATACATTTTTCATTCAGTGTTTGAGCACATACTGATCGAGGTCTCTGTTTTATGTTTGTATTTGTGCATATGACTCTTGTTCATGTCCTTTGCACATGTATTTATTGGCATCTTAATGTTTTCCTTGCCACTTTTTTCTTTCTTTTTTTTTTTTTGAGACGGAGTTTCACTCTGTTGCCAGGCTGGAGTGCAGTGGCATGATCTCAGCTGACTGCAGCCTCCGACTCTCAGGTTCAAGCGATTCTCCTGACTCAGCCTCCCAAGCAGCTGGGACTACAGGGGTGGGCCACCACACCCAGCTAGTTTTTATGTTTTTAGTAGGGACGGAGTTGCACCATGTTGACCAGGATTGTCTGGATCTCTTGACCTTGTGATCCGCCTGCCTCAGCATCCCAAAGTGCTGGGATTACAGGTGTGAGCCACTGCACCTGGCCCCTAGTACTTTTTTCTAATAAAACTTCCTAATATAGAGGGTTTTGTTTGTTTTTTGATGGAGTCTCCCTCTGTTGCTCATGCTGGAGTGCAGTGGCATGATCTCATCTCACTGCAACCTCTGCCTCCTGGGTTCAAGCAGTTCTCCTGCATCAGCCTCCT